CCCCAAAACCCCAAAACCCCAAAACCCCAAAACCCCAAAACCCCAAAACCCCATACTAATTCTAGTTGGTTGAAGTTTTATATTTTTGGACGAATTTTCTATTTTAAAGCTAAAATTAGGTTGGAAGATAATATGAAGAAGCAACTAGGCAAGAGAAATAGCATTATAATGAGGAAACGGACGTATAAACACACAGATATGAGGCATAAACCCAAATAAGAAGCTTTAGCTGAATTTCTTTTCTCTAATCAATAACAGAATGAACATTTGCTTAAAATTTCCGAGAATTTGAAGCAAATAGACTCATTTATATAAACAAAGAAGTTAAAGAATCTCCAAGAGAAATTTAGGTCAAATTCTAGATTAAAATAAAAGGTTTAAACTATGTTAACACCCAATGAGAGTTCCTTGGAGCTCTGAGAGGAAACTCTGACTCCTCATACATCTTCTCATGTGTGCCAATACTCTGGCTGTTTACAATTTGAGAAGAACAGAACTCAAAGTCATCAATGGGCTCAAGCTTAATGCTCAAGTGTCTTTTGGCTGGAGGATCAATAGGACTATAAAATCATATTAGACCAAACTATTGATGAAAGAGAAGGAGTTAACTTACAATGCATCATTTCTAAAAGATGGTTCGCGGAGCCTTGTTTGTCTTTCAGCCAATAAGAATCTCTTAAATATCTCTGACACTAAACAAGTGGTTAATTTTGTCCAAATTCCAAAATGATTTACCCAATGAGATTCCAGAGATGGCAAAATTCAGCATATTGTTGATGACAAGGAGGACAAAGAGAGCCTGTCCATTGAAAGCATCCCATTTTTCTCTCTGACTAGCTATAAGAATGAGAATCCCGAAGCAGAGGTAGAATATCTCATTCATCAGTTCCTGGGCGTTCCTTAACTTGTTGTTAAATGGGTTATTGATCAGAATGTATAAATTTTGGATGTAATTCATGAAAATGAATGCCAGCAAGAAGAGCAATGTGTTATGTCTTGGAAAGACTATATGAATTAGGCACAAATACGCTTACATATTATCAGCATTCATAGCATGAACCTCCTGAAAAAGAAGGAGAAATGATAGAATCTTGCTATATTTGAAGGTCTGATGGACTTTAAAAATTCAGGGATGTATACGACGTTCTTCACACATGAAATTAAGGTCAGCACAAATACTGCACTCATTACACCAACAACGAATAGGTAGAACAAACAACTGGAGATCAGCGAGAAGGTATGCCTTTGCTCTTCAAACCTCCAATTCGCTATCTCTGACAAGGATGAGAGTAAAGTAACCAGAAATCCTTCAATGATCAAAACTGGAATGAGGAAGTAAGTCAAGAACTCTGAAAATTTTAGAATTGCTTTATGAATTCTCCTGGGCTTCTCTCAAATTTTAGAGCGGAGGTATCTAGGCATCAGCATAATTGCCAGAGATATAGACACTCCTAGTAAGAGAGCCATGGTCTTGAGATTCACCAAAGTGCTTCCTGAATGTAGTCCAACCATGTAAAGTTGGAAATCTCCCTGTTCATAATGAAATATACTCAGGAGCTCAGAAAGATCAAGTAAAGGTAGCTTGAGATCAAACACAAACAGGCATTTAGTCAGAGGCTTCAGATAATTTATGACTTCCAAAGGAAGGTTAAATGGCAACAAGAGAAGCATGGCCATTAACTGGATTTGGTTCACTGAGGCAAATATCATATGAGAATCCTCCTTATTCATGATCGAACTTATCATATTGAAGATGACTGATAATATAACTACAGCCAGACTCAGGTCAGAAATCCATTTTGAGCTTGGAGGTGCCTTAGAGTTCTTATAATCTATGTATCATACATCAGGCTTTGAGAGTCCAGGTGATCTACAGACCCAATTTTGCTCAATTATCTTGCAATCTGCAGAGCATCCATCTCCGTCAAGTTGGTTACCGTCATCTCAGACTTCAATGTCCTGTGTGACTCCGTCTCCACAAATTGATAATTCTTCAAGAAGGAATCTAGAAAAGTTAGCTTCTGAATTGGGAGAATCTCCAAGAGTTTGCCTGTGTATTATCTTGTTAGTGTGCTCTTTCAAAGATTCTCCCACAGTAGATCCATCCAAGATCAGGAGCTTGCCCCTAATAAATCCAACCAAAGTGGGTCCATGTTCCTGAAATTTTTGTAACTCCATTAAATTCTGAGAGTCTTTATAAATTCTATCATCACGAATTTCTGACAATAAGTTATCATCTGATGAAGGTCCATCTAAGCCAGACTTTGAGATCAGGTTTTCGCCCGAAATCTGGAGACTGTTTTCCTCTCTCAATGAATCAAAAGGATTTGTATTTGATGAATCTAAAGCTTCTTGACCTTGCTCAAGTTGGGAATCCTCTAAGAGATTAGGCTTATCTCGAGGTAAATGGAGGGAATCAGTGCAAGTCTTGAGGTTGGAGTGTACTTTGTAATCTATATTATCAGGCTCTGGAGTAATCTTCATCTTCAGGATCTCTTCTATAGAAATTACGTCACTGTATATTTCTACGGTAGGTCTATCATTCCCTATCAACCGGAAGTCTGGTTCAGCTTGGAGAAAACCTTCTTCAGCAAAGACACTCTCAGAGTTGTTTCTAATAGTGTTGATCATGCTTTTCAGCACTTCAGACAACTCATTGTTTGCTTGAGTCTTGGCAAAACTACTCTCTACTCAAGATTAGATTATAATAAAATTTAGTTGATAAAATCATACAACCCAGAAAAGAAAAGAAATTTAGATATTTCAAAATCTCTATCTTTTTAAAAAACTGGGTGAATGAAAGACTTACCTCCTAAAACCTCTCTAACTAGTGTCTGAACTTCTAAGGAACCCTCAAGGTGGTATATAGACACTCTCTGACAATGGGAAGACCCCTTTTGAGATTCCTCCAAACGTTCTTTTCCAGAATCTGCTTTCCTGATACTATCTGACGAACGAAATAGCATTTCACCATCTCCAGATTTATTATAAGATACACATTCAATGTCGATAATTATCCAAGAGGTGACTTCAAAGCTACGGTTAGATGGCCTCTGAGGTATCATGTGAAGCGTATTATTCCTAAAAGTTTCTCAAGAGACTTTGGAGAAAAAATGCGCAACATTTCTCTCAGATATCGCGTTCTATAAAGCAACTTTTAACAATGCCACATTGAAACTAAAGCTCAGATTTGAACCGGATTGTTGATAACAGATAAAACCTGTGACGCAGCTGTGTAAATACTTACAGATGATTCCCTAGTCAGAAGAGGAAGGTTAGCGACTAGCTTTCTTGTTATGGGCATCACTTCATCACTTAAATCCATCATTGAGAGTCCACCTATAACACAAGGTTAAAAATTATTGGAGAATTTTCACTCTCAGGATAGAAAAGAAAATTTTCAGATGCCAAATTAAGAAATCCAAACTGAAATTAGAAGGAAAGTTATAAGAGTTGAAACACTTTGAGATTCATATTGAATCACCCCTGTGCTACTTACCTATTCTGGCCTCAGTTCTTCCATCAGATATCATCAGGATTAGAAGCATAACCAATTTTCAAGTTTGTGTAAATTTCAACAGTCTTATTCAAAATCTAAAATTTAGTTTATTGAGCTTGAAACCAACTATGAAGGGCCAAACTTGATGCTGGGATGCGAAGAAAGCTCAGAACCACCGTTAGAAAGAAAATGTCTAAGTCTTACTCTGTCATTGAGGTTCAGAAGTATAATTATTAAAAATTTCAACCTAAAACGGGACTTATGGGGTTTTGGGGTTTTGGGGTTTTGGGGTTTTGGGG